GCACATAAGAGAGGATCGTGAAAATCTTGAACGAGGTCACGAATTAGCAGGAGCACCAAACTAAGCGGTTTGGTTGCACTCTCTGTCAAGCCTACATATTAACGGTTCGGGACAATCCGAGAACGGAGGCACGACTAGCGACAGCAGATACGACCCTTTCAATGTGCGCTAAGCCCACTAAGTCTGTTTGTGTGTGCATGAATATGGATTGCTGACTGTAACCATTAGTCAATGTCATCAGATCAACTCGTGAATACGCTTCAATCAAGCTCATTCTCTGATGGTTCATCGCATTTCCAAACACTAAAAGTTTGCGTGTTGCTTTGGGGAATTTCAGCGATTTAATACAGGGCAGGCATCAAACTTTGTTTAATGCAATTTACTCTGTCAAAATGTCCTTTTTTTATAAAGTATTTTGCCTTTGAATTTTGTAAATGCAGATAAAATGCTGTCCGTAGTAATTGTCACCGACAATGAAATTCAAAATCATACTCGTAAGAATTTTTCTATACAATGCCATAATTATTCTACTTATAAAATCAATGCTATGTAAAAATTGTAGACACTTTCATTAGAAGTCAGAATGCAAACAATTCTGCATATAATTATCCTTAAAAGGCGCGGTAATATCCTTTAAAGTCCTTGTTAAGATCCAATTTCATGAGATCATTAGCACTATGTAATGTTTTGCACTCAAACCAAATGCACCGGTTAGCTAATTTATCAAGATTCTTTTCAGTTAGTTACAATAGTAGAAAATTATACTTTCTAAACCGCCGAAATGGACGCATTTGTGCACCGATTTTGGATATTTTTTTATAATGTAGAATACCCAAGCCCTAATAGGTAAAAGACCAGTACAACAGAACAGGCTTCATTGACCAATCAGAAGCCAGAGCCACGCGTCAGGCGCCTTCCATCCGAGTCCACCACGATGGCCACGCCGCTCTTATATACTGCACACCAGTCGTGTCCTTATCTGGTTGGCTACCTTCCTTTCCCGCATGCCATTGAATCGCAGAAATACACTGGATTGGCTGAGGCCAGGTGGTCCAACATGTCTGCGCCCTAATCCGACGCCACTGTAGAATACCCGAGCCCAAATAGGTAAAAGACCGGTACAACAGAACAGGCTTCATTGACCAATCAGAAGCCAGAGCCACGCGTCAGGTGCCTTCCATCCGAGTCCACCACGCTGGCCACGCCGCTCATTTTATACTACACCTCAGTCATGTTCATCTTTGGTTGGGTGCTTATCTTCCTCGCTTGCCCTTGGAACGCAGAGACACAGGATTGGCTGAGGCTAGGTGGCCCAACATGTCTGCGCCCTGATCCGACGCCACTTTGGGACTCGGATGGCAGGCGCCTGATGCGTGGCTCTGGCTTCTGATTGGTCAATAAAGCCTGTTCTTTTGTACCGGTCTTTTACCTATTAGGGCTCGGGTATTCTACACTGGTGCCAGCGGATGCGTTCGAATAACGCAAATCGAACCCTAGCCTTTTCTCATCTATGGTCAACACAGGCAAAGACCCTTAAATTCCGGCTGAATTTGTCATGGCGTTCATCCAATGTCCAACAAAGTGGATCCATAGACATTGCCCGGGATTAGGACTACTGCATCTGAAGAGGCATTGGCAACTCAGCGACGAAGACTTGGACAGTGAAAGCCAGCAGGACTGCATCTGCGAATGGACCTTCGATGAATGATGAGTCCTTCCTGCAAGTCTACAAGAGCAAAGTCGTTCGTCAGCTATTCGCATGGGCCACTATCCTGACAGATGTGGGGTGCGAGGAGTGTCGAACTGGATATTTTACCAACACTGGATGTTAACAACAGTGCAAGGAACCAAGCCAGAAGCTGAGGACAGCTTCACTGCTGAGGGGGAGGCAGTGTGGGACTCGGATGGAAGGCGCCTGATGTTTGGCTCTGGCTTCTGATTGGTGAATAAAGCCGGTTCTGTTGTACCGGTCTTTTACCTATTATGGCTCGGGTATTCTACACCACACTACAATAATCAAACGGTCTCTGTAATTTGAACCGGGCAGTGTTTGTTAACTCACTTAAAGACATAATAGTAGGTGAAAAAGACACCACTGTTTTATAAATGGCTAAATTCTAAATTGTGATGTACCGGTCATTTTAAATTATGAGAAACCAGAGTGAATTATTTTGAGATGTTGGCTAAAATTGCAAAAAAGTCCACACTTAAACATTAGATGAATTGGGAAAAGTTTCATTAGACGCTGATACCCCTAAAATGGGCTTTTCGTTTTAAAACAAATTGAAAATTTCGTTGTATAGAGCCAAAAATATGGACCAGGGGCACTTCTAATGCCATTGGCACGACTTATCCCAAATCTTGAAATTGTTGTAGGCCCCAGCATATGATCGTGAACCACGCCGGGGCCACGGAATTTACCCTGGCCCGATTACGCTTGCCTGATACCCGCGATTAAGGAAAGAGGTCGGAGAGGACGGACACAAGCGTTTACTTCAGAGGTCAGATACGTTGGTGTCGTTGTGTCAGGTGTGGTGTTTGTGCGTGTGTATTTATAGCTCGGATGTGTGAGTCATAGATGCGCTAACATTGAGACCTATGTGTGGGGACACTCCAATATAAATAATCGGGCTAATGAAGGGGGAGTTGAGGAATCGAGCAGCTGGCGACATGATGCGACGAATGGAACCCCTTGTGGGAGGCGAAGCGACCGGATTAGGAGGTTGGATAAGCAGGATTCACGACAAAACCTTAACCAGGAATAAGGCAGATGCCGCATTACCCGCAAGATGTCTCATTATTCTGAGCACTAGTATACCATAAGGACAGGCTTCTGAAATCTACTACCTATTTTTAATTGACGCCATCCCACATTATATTTAAGAGCTTAAAAAAATATGAAAATTATTTGTTACGTTGTATATTATTGCAGTCACTACGCCAATTACATGATTAAAATGACTAGAATAACTATGAGCACCTCTTCTGTAAGCAGACACAGCAAGTCAGTAAGCTACTTTTTATAATAAAGAGATCATTTACGCACTGAAATCAAGCAAGTTATCATCAAGAGTGTAGTGACAAAAATGTTCCCATAGGTTACCAGAAATCACAACCTTAAAAATACTCCGTAATGTCATATTACCCAAAAAATTCAAAATTATTAAAAATATTTGAGCATTTTAAAAATGGGCAAACTAAAATTTGTAAAATTTTAAGATTATTTTAAAGTAAAAAATTAAATTTTCATGCATTAGAAAATGCTTGAAAATAGTTTTTGAGCGTAATATGTGCCTTTTTCCTTGACGCATACGCTGATGACATTAAAATCAACTAATAATTAAATCAATTACTTAGATATTTTTTGTAATGTACGAACAGAGGATCCGTTCTTCCTATTTTTGTTTTACTAAATTTCATTGGCTTGTATTTTCTTCATCTTAACGCGGGTTTCCTGAAGGCCCATATTTCGTAGCCGCATGTCGGTAACCTGGTGCGGTCGTTTATTTGTCTAATGTTGCGAATTTTCTCCGCTTGCTCGTTTATTTCCACTGAAACACCATGATAGAAAAAAAATTAATTTGTTCGGAATTTTTGGGGTCTTCAAATAATTATTGGCTTCGTCAAATCCCCTTTCTTCCTTCGGAATCGATTGAGATTTTGGATGAAACTGCAACTGGAAGCGTTTGTCTTACGAGTTTCAGGTTGATTTTGTATTGTAAACATCAGGAAAATATAATTTCCATTCCTACTCTATTGATACGGCTAGTGGAATCTTCATCACTGGTTCATATGTGCATTGTCACAAAGATTGGTAAAGTATTCACGTATGATTGTACATTTGGTAAAATTGCCTTTAGTTGTCAGTTCAAAAGCGTTCTTGCTTGTGAGGCTTGGGTAAAGCATATAAATGCGGTATTGGAATCACCCAAGAACTTTTCACAAACGTTTGCTTTTCGCTTCCAAGACGTGCTTAAGCGTCGCGATGTGAACCACCCGTTTCTGATCCCAGTAAAGGAAACCCTCGATCTTGGTGGTAAGTTACCTTTTTAATGCCTACTTGTAAGTGAACGATACCACTTTTGAGGCGCAGCTCGTTCTTCACGAATTTACGAGGATGGGTTTTAATAGTAACTGGAAAATAACTGACATAAACAGCGATTTCAAGTAAGCCTCTCCGTTTGTCGTGCAGTGGTGTTCTTAGAATCTGCTCAAGCTATCCTAAGTACCATATCATGCCCCGAGATATATCTGATCAGGTTGTGCCCTCTATGGCCACATTTCGAAGCCACAACCGGTTTCCCTCCGTTGTATGGCGATCCCGCAGAACTGGTGCCGTACTCCTCCGATGTGCTCAGCCATGCGTTGGAATTATGTGTTCAAGGAATGAAGTTGATGAGCGATTTGTTGGTGCTGTCCTTGAAAATTGTAAGAGGGATCCGCAGACGAGGCAAAATCAGGAAGGTACTGTAGTTGTGATACCGCATTGATCGCATGTACGTCTGATTATGATAACGTACCTCTCTTTTGTAGATTCATTCGGACTTCTTATAATCGACGCCAGAAATTACAGCGCAGCACAGTTTAATAGATTGCGTGGTGGTGGTTTTGAATATATGGAATATTATGATCAATCAGAAATTCGTTTTATGGAACTACCGAACCTTCACGCTGTCCGACTAAGTTTTGAACGTCTCATACTTTTATACAGGAAACCAGATTCAAAGTAAGCAATTGCTGCAGATTTATTGTTCCGTACGTTTTTGTCGCCACATAAGTCTTAACAAATACATTTAAGTGTCCCTTTCTTTAAAATGACACTGTGCGGCAAGTGCTAATTGGGTACCCACGCGATTAACTTGTTCAACCAATCCTAGTGCGTTCCTGTTTTCACAGTTAATGTTATTATTAATACGTTATCGTAATCATTGTGCATTTTGTCCACACGGTCTCTAAGCTAAACAGACGCCTTCACGGGAAATATTTTTATTTCCGTCTATAAGCTTGTTTGTTGAACCAACCTCATCCGCTTTGGTAGTTTCTATCTACTCAACAGTAACATTCACCACACTTTTACTTATGTGGTTGATCATTCAGTTGGTATTCCGCACTTGAACGAACGATGTGGCTGACCTATATTAGCCAGTTACTGAAAGCTGCATGTGAAGTGGTTGCAGGACTGGACGTCAAAGGTCGCCCTGTCATGGTTCATTGCACCGATGGTTGGGATAGGACACCCCAACTGACCTCCCTTGCTCAAATACTTCTCGACCCTTACTATCGAACAATACAAGTGGGTGAATTTTTATAAAATTTGCAGGTTGACGCCTAACTGTTTCCGCATTTTTTTACATTGGTACATTAATTTAAGGGTCTACGCAAACGCTGTGTAATTTGCATAGTCTGTTCAACGTAGTGTTGCTGTGACCATTAAGGTCACTATTTCCGCATTTTCGGTTGGCCGTGTGACTCAACTTGTAATATTTTCATATGTGTATTAAAATTGTTTTACATGCAACTTGAAGTGATCTACAAAAATGGTACTTCGAAGAGGGCAGTTAACCAGAAATATCCCTTTTGTAGTCTACCCTATATGCTCCAAAACGTCAACATTGTACGCCTGATTGTAACGTCCGGGTTTACGTGCTCAATAAAAGCTAGTTTCTAGTGGGATGCATGAAAATTAATAACGTTTGGCGTCTTAATAATACAGCTTGACATAAAAAGGATAAAATAAAAAAAGTAACTCTTTACATGTCACTTCCGTTGCTTATTGTCAAATTTGTTTTCTAACGTAGGGCTTTCGTATTCTTGTTGAACGGGAATGGCTACAATTTGGTCACAAATTTGCTGACCGATGCGGACATAGTTTACGTACCTGCAGCCCCGAGGAACAGAGTCCTATTTTTCTCCAGTGGCTCGACTGCGTCCGCCAGGTTCAACGACAGTTCCCCAGTTACTTCGAGTTTAATGAATTTTTCCTGGTATGTCGCGACATTGAAGTAGTCATTTTTTTTGGCAGATTGTTAAAAAATTGAAACACCAAATCGTATCAATTTTTCAAGTAGACCTCTTGATTGACGGTAAGCTCGTGTCTCCAAGTGCAGTTTATGACACGAGTATGGGGTTATGCCAGCAATTCTTTTGATTCTCCAGTTATGTTTTCCGCTTTTGCATCACCAGAAGCCCTTCTTGCACAGCATCGCTGACCGCTACATAATTAGCAAACTTAAATGATCTTCAGTCGTTTGTGTTATTTTGTCTTAGATCAGTTGGCTGGAATTACTTTATTCGTAAATGCAGTTCGGACTTGAAAACTCAAAACATGTAACTGTTCACTTTGACCCCTTTCCTTTGCAGATTAAAATGGCCATCCACACGTACTCGGGTTTGTTCGGCACTTTCTTGTACAACTCAGAACTCGAACGTCAAGCAGCTCACTGTGCCTCACAGACGTGCTCAATTTGGGCCTTTTTGAATCCAAAGCACAACTGGTCTATCTACAATTACCTGTACGAAGAAAAACTAGAGGTTTGTTTTTCATTCCAATTTCTCAAGGCATTGACGCAAGTCAAACAGTTTACAAACACTAGTCATGCTCGTTATGGCCCCGGTCATTTCTGTGGAGTGACACTAATGCATCCAGTGCGGCTGTTGTCATGTTTTTAATGCATAACATTTCGAAACATCCGTTGGATATTCAGTGCAAACTCGTCAACCACAAAGTAGTTGGTGTTCATATTTATAGCTACATTTAATTACTCAGGATGTGAACTTGAGTGTGATTGACTAGCGCTACATTGAAGACTCACAAACCACAAATTTTTGATTAAGGTAATAAATCCTGCCTGGCATGTACGAAGTCTAGAGTTATGGGACTCGCTATACGTGAATGCGCTGTTGCCGTCCAATACGACTCCACCTCTGAGTCAGCCTCCGGCCTTAACTACTCCATTCCGGCGCAGCAGTGACACCCCTGTACCCCTCCAAATCTCCACGTCTTGTTTCAACGCTGCATCAAGTCTCGGGGTTCTCTCAAGTGGTCCCCCAACTACCTCCATCGCTTCCACACTCTCCTCTGTAGCTGCAGGCACAAATGCGTCCAGTCTTGATGAAACTAGCGTCCCGCTGCGTTCCCAGTCAATGTGCAGCATCAATTTGGCCTCTGCGACTGTCCCCTCAGCCCCATCCCCGTTGCCCGAACTGACAATTAAGCCCGTACCGCCCTTACGAGGTGCCTCTTTGGAGCTGGTCTATAATGATCAGACCCAAGCTTCACGGGTCGCGCAGTGCTCTTTGTCCCCTGTTTATTCCAAATTATCTAAAGAAGACGAGAAAGCGCGGGTTGCTGCTGTGGATGCTGATGATAGTGCCTTAAAATGCTCTTTATCTGATCAGGCACTTTCGATGAATGTAGCCGATGATTCGCCTTTGCCGGGACAAGTGAGGAGTTCCAGCGCCCCGTTCTCTAGTTTAGAACGAAAAAAAAGTACGAGAGGATTCAGATTGTCGGTGAGTTAATAAAAATATTTAATTTTAGTGCTCTTGGAATATGAATTTTGTGAAAATATCGTGAGGATGATGACTACTCGCAAACGTCGGCTGTTTTTCTACGTAAAGTTTGACGGAAACTGACTACACGATGTTCTAACTGCACACTTTATAGGCCGAGATGTGATAGAAACGTGAAAGTATTTGTTATGTGCCTCAATAGTACTAAGAGCAACTTTTTACTTGGCTAAAGACGAATTGCTAAAATCGACCGCAAGTCGTGGGCAACTTTATTCCAAGAATTTTGCCTGGTTTGATGCTTTTGGGTTGAATAATTGCGTGGGATAGCATGGAGCTAAGTACCGTTAAACTACTATTTCACATTTAGCAATGCAAGGGTATGCGATTTTTTTAAATATTGGCAGTCGACTCGCTTCGCTGATTAACCCTAACTCCAATCGTTAAATTCCTGCTACTTCAGAGCCTCGGTGACAATGAAACTATTGTTGTAAATGATGCGCCTCTTGATGAAATTCGTGATGCGGGTGATGCTGAGGGACTTGATTCTGTTACCGTAACGACGGCTGCTGAGGCCGCACTTGACCGAATAGCAGTCAGCAAATCATTTATTCAAACTCAGACTGTTTTACCGTCTTCGTTTTCCCCGGTGAGCTAATTTACGCTTTTTTCCCGAACGAAGCTATTTTTGAGATCGTGAAAGGTTACGCTTTCTGTAGACTTAAAAAGTGGCGTCAATTTGGGGTGGGATGCAGACTGGAACCATCTTTCCTAGTTTAGCTTAGAAACATCCGATGCTAACTGATGCCTCCAATAAAATAATCCACTGGATTAATTGTGATGCAGTCGAGCAGCTGGCAATTTTTTTCTGCAAGGGGGCCTTTTTTAAACTTGTAAAACCGAAAACTTTTAGAAGTCGTACTCAACTCGAAAACTAATATCAAAAAGAAAAATTACGGGTGATAGTGCTTTTTTATGTTCATTATTTGCTAGTCAGGTGTCAACCCCTAGCTCGATTATTAACTCATTTCCTTAACTTCAATCCACATGGGAAATGCCCAGACACCATTAATATATTCGTTGCCCTAGTTGCTTTTTTATGGAATATCGGAAGACTATGTTGCGAGCTCCGTGCAAGTTGTTTTACCACTTCTAGACGGCCTGGTCCAGTGGATACTTTAATCCCCCCGTGTTCAGCACCACATATCGTAAGCTGACAGATGAGTCAGTTTCCTTGGGTGAGAATGGTGAAACTGTCGATAAATCCTCGGTACCATCTAGCTCCAACCACGCTTACGAAGGCTCTGTGAGCAAGGTTGTCTCAGATAATCTGTTTAATCAGAACCAGTCTCGTACGGGCAACGATCTCCAGCACGGCCACAGTACCAGTAATAACATAAAGCGGGACACGGAATCAGGTGTTCCTAACTTGACGGATTCAAATCTCAACCTTACCGATACGTTATTGGACGCAGGGGCCTCTTCTGGAAGAGTGAGTTCTTACATTAAGATGCCAGAATTTGGTGTCTAATTCGATTGATTTTCACGTATCCTTCATACCAGAGCATTCCACCCAAACCCGTGTGGAATTTATGATCAGTCTACTGTTGAGGCATGATGTCGCAAAAAATAAGACTGAAATGACAGTATTCGTTTATTGAGTTGGAAATAGAAGTGTCTTTTCAACTAGAAAAAGGCATCAGTTAAAATGCGATCGCTAAGCATCAATCTCTGAACGAGCATAATTGCGTGAACTGCATTCGAGTAAACCAATTTAATCGGTGCTCGCTCATGCTTGCTGTGCTCGCTCACTGACAGCCGCACTACTTATAGCGATGCGCTGTGGCTTTTATTGCCTTTTCAGCACCTTGATATGGGTGATAGTAATTTCCCCACTGATTTGGACGGTCTGCCCCTGCGTATCGACACAGTTACGGCCAAGCTGCATCAGCGACACAGACAAGAGGCTCGTGCCAGCGCTGAGCACCAGTGCCGCATCGATCGCCTCGAGGCCGAAATCGCCAATCTTAAGGTGGAGATGGCCCGTCTACGTGAGCTTACGACGAAGACCAATGAAGTAGTCACTCGGAGTGCTGATTATGCTTACCAATCCGCATTTCCGCAATCGACCCCTTCGCTAGTTGCAACCGCGCAGAATGGTTACGCTAATAGACCGATGAATCAGCCGTCATCTATTGCTGAGGTTAGAACAGAGATTTTGTGTAGCCCCCTGATATTGGTTTCATAGAATGTGTATTCAGTTTCGCTTACAGTGGTTTACATTGCAGTTCCTATCAAACGGATAGTTATTGATTTGGATAAAAAAAGCATATGTATACGTTAAAGAGAGTATTATTTCTCGACTAGTGACAGTGACTTTGGACGTCGTCATGCACTAAATGGATTATTTGTGATTATTTGATCAGCCAATCGAAGGAATTAGCAGTAACAGGTTCACATTGTGACTTTTAAAGCAAATCACTGTATTTGCGAATTTTTTTGGCCAAGTGTGAAATGGCATTAAATCTGTCTGCTTCGAAATTGTTTGAGGTTATTGTAAGTAGCTTCAATTACTCGGATATTTTCCATTAACTTGGCCGAAATCCCCAGAAACAGCGAAGATTATCTAGGTACCTTCTATTTGTTGATATCTTGGGAGGCCCATGTGGTTTTTAAACCATTTACCCTGAACAGCTTGCAAGACGTCAACTCTTGTGATCAGGTTTAAAAATACTGTACGTATAAAAAAGACATGCTTATACCAGGTCCTTAAAAGCCCTTTAATTGCTCATGAGTGTTAGTAGCGCATTTAACAAGCTGATACACTTTACCTGAACCGCACTGAATTTGGGGCTGGCTCCAGCTCGACTGTACAAGTCTCCGCGTTTTTTGTATTTTCGCACAAATGTTTCTCGCTTAGGCTCTCACTGATGCAATAGACAGTCAACAACCAATAAACGGCTGTAATAGTTGTGGCGACGTTTACGAGACAGTCCATGGGGCACTTCTCGACACTCAGCCGGCAACAGACGACGGTCTACTGAACTGGAGCGAAGGCTTTGTTTCTACTGCGACTCTACCTAGGCGACACAAATACGGCCCCAGTACCTCCTCAGATGTTAGCTCGTTTGATGTTGTTGAACGATCAGCGGTGCCATCTTGCTCCGGTAGTGGTGGTGAACCCGTTTGTGACGGATTCGACTACACTGTTGGCTGTCTTATTTCTCCCTCGTGCGGGTTTGTCGAATTATCTATTCGTCGTAATAACTCGTGTCCCAGATGTACAGTTTGCCATACAATGTTGCGATACGGCTGGTAGCGCTGTGTCTAAGTGAAAATCGCTTTGGCCATTCAGTTGTCCCCACACAATATTCATCTCTGTGACTGTTCTTTAGGCTGTCGGTTCGTCGATATTGAGTAACACGGCTTGTGTACTAACTGCTTTTACAAGAGGTCTTTTCCTAAGGATCCTATTTTTGCTTAATGACGACTTGACAGTTGTTGACGGCAGCGCATACTAAAGCCCTGATGGATCTTTTTGAAAATAATGTTCGATGATTGGGTTTGTCGATGCCACTACAATTGTTAACGAAATTCGTTTTCTTTCAGTCACTGCAATCGATGCTTTTGCAGGACGTGTCCGGAGGCATCACAGCGGTTAAGCACCTGTAAACCATCCGATTGTTCTTGCTTCCACAAACACTTGCTCGATGTGAACGCACCACGTGAGATACTCATTCGATCACCTGACACCGTTCTCGACGGAATGTACAGAAGTCACACGCTGACATCCACTAGCACTAGCAGCTCGTCTTCCTGTGTCGAGTCTAATACCTGTCGACGAGTTGATCGACGTTTCTCCTCAGGATCATCCTTAAACGCCTGCCGGAATCGCTCCAGCGGCCACAGCCAAAACGGAACTGCCAAGGCTTGACCATTTCTTCTTAACTGTGTATACGGCCTCTTCTTAGATATGTCCTTCTCCAAAGATCTCACCGCCTTCCCACTTTTCTGCTATGTATATACGATGACCCTCTATCACCAGCATCACACGGAGTGTTTGTTGCGTGTGCTGATTTATTGTAGTTGCGGTTGCGAGCCCAACCCTTCCACTCAACTCTACTTCTTTATTACCACTAATACTACACTTTCCGTCCTGAGCTACTCCTCACCTGAACAATTCTGGTTTGCTATCTCTGGCTTCTACACAATTAGCAAATTTTAACCCAAGACTCGTTTTATACTCTAAGACTAAAGGTCAGAATGTGCCATTAATCAACGGAAGTCTAAATTGATCGTAATAAAGGCATAAACGGTTGTAGCCACCCCAAAACCCGACACTGATACTCGAGAAAATCAAGTAGGGCAGAGATGGCGGAGACAACCGCTCACCTGGTTGTGTGTAGTGTGGATGATTAATGTGGTTGTTCACCAATGCAATTTGGGTTAACTTGCTAAAGTGGCTGAACGGCCAGATGAGTGATGTTGAAAGCGGGGTAGGTCAATGCACAGGCGTGAGTGGACGGTTCGGCATGGATCATGGATGCGCCGTGAGAAGAAAGCGGTGTCGAAGAACGTAATGACAGGGCTAATGATGATGAATCCACACGATCCGCCAGAAACTGCTACATTCAAGGTCTTGGATCACTAGTTGCTGATGTTTAATTAAATGGGTATGATCGCTATTGCCTGACAGTCCTCCGTTTTTTCGGTCTGTTCTCGATTGCAGTACTAGATCCTAATTTATGGCCATGCAATTTATCGATCCATTATAAGGCTAAGCGTGTGTTGTGTCATGAGAGATTTTCTCAAATTGAGTTCCTGCAGTTAGCCGCTGCGCCACGCCAGAGTACACCCGAAGTGGCCAGGACACATCTGCACGGGACGCATATTTTTATGTAATGATCTAATTGGAGGAGGCACCTCACGAAAGTGGATTCACGAAATGATGATGCTTGCTCTGTAGATTTGACGCTACCTTCAAACTACCAAATGCCAATCGTCTTACCTGATTATGCTCAGCAACATTAAGCTAGGGCAATTTTCTCCGATCGTCTTTAAGTGAGCAGTAAAAGTGACTTAAAAGATGTGGTTATGGATCGGACGTCCAGCTAGGTAGGTAATTAGAAAGTTCTTTGGTAATCAATAGGAAGTAAAATTTACCAAACATTGACATCCGAAGCTTCCAGAAATTAGTGGGGGTGTTTGCCTGCCTACACCAGGCATGTGTAATAAACATGATACACAACAAGTTCTAAGATGAGTTGGCGGATCTGAAAAACAATTTAGCGTGTCCTGCAAAATGTGAGGCATTTTTCACTCACTTCGAGGGACTGTGCTGAGGTGGATAGCAAATTAAACAGTCAGTCCAAGATTCAAATTTGTTATAAGTCGGTGGTGGGACATTTCCAACAAAACCTCTCCTGAGAGGCTTTAATAATTGGGGAACGATTAAAACTTGTGGCCACTGCTTCCCGATTTCAGTTTACTCAGAGAAATGCGTTCGTAAAACCAGCTACATAAAAGTGAACAAAACGCTTTTATTAATGAAGTTTGCAATAGATTTTTGAGTTCTGCTCTCATAGCCCAAAAAGGTCTGAATTATTTTAGACAATGTGACCCTGCATTAGCTTTGAGTGACAAGCTCAAACGCAGTTAAAATTTTGGTGTCGAAACCCTGTGTACGGACATTTCTATGGATATAGCACCACAGAAATGTCTGTTTTCAGCGTCTTGTAAGGTTACTAAAACATTTGGGGTGATTTGCAGTGCGAAATCAATTTGAGCACATGTAACTTCAAAGCTAAAGATAAAATATTGACTTCTTTTGGGTAACTAATACGCAAACATTAAGAAGGCTCAGCCTTCGGCTTTAAAGTATTCCGGATTTTAAGTTACAAATGGGATCTGTATAGAACTGATGGATTATTTTTTATTGTCGTCATTTTTCAGGTACAATCTCAAATTTTTTGGAACAGTTTAGACAGCCGTGTGTCATGCGAACGCATGCAATAAGCTAGCCCTTACGTGGATGGGTCGTGCATTTTGAGTTGCTTTAAATCAGCCAAGCAATTCATTCACATGTTTGCTGTCCACAACTGAAACATATTTAAACGAGACAAGGCCGTACACATTTTTAGTGATTCGTGGAGAATCATTATTGCAGCATGATCAGGAAGCGATGTCGAATTTCGCAGGTAGTGCTGACCTTGCAAAACCATTTCAATGAAACAACAATCACTAATACCGATGCCGTGAACTCACATTTGGTTCAGTATGTGTTTAACATAATCCAGTAATGCTATGAGCGCGGAATTATGATGCTGCCAGAAAGATGACGAAGGGCGTGAGGGGGGGAGTGCAAAATGTATAATCTATCACGGTTCATTTTTTCGCCAAAAATGATTTTTATTTCACAACTTATAATAGAAACTATTTTGTCGCTAAGCCATTAGGGCGCTAAATTTTGGACTAGAGAATCATGAGGGGAAAGTGAAGCTCTCTGAAATTAGACCCGAAGAACCAAGTTAAAAAATTTTACCGCATTTATTGAACAACAATCTGCTCGTAAATCTCCAAAAAACTATAGTTTATAAAAACCGTACTACTGCGAATACTTGTACAGAAATGATAATGAACGTGTCTCCAGGTGAATAGAGTAAAACAAAATGCCTACAACAAAAAAATTTATACAGGCCGATGGGTTTTACAATTGTCCCGCGCGTTCTTTTTCTTCTAGAAGGCGGTAGCGTTCGCGTGTCACCGAGAGCGTTCGGGCGTGTCGGATTTCTGAAGCAGTTGCGTCAAGAGGAAGTGAATTTTGGCCGATTGCCATGTTACCGAAGCCGAGCCCTGCGCGCTGGTCCAAACGCATGCTCGCGGATATCTAAAGCACCCGAAGGGATAGATTTTGATTTCACGGACAGAAACAAGGCTTATTACGCTGGAGGCCCTAGATAGTATCGCTTTGATGAACACGCGATTTTTTCCCGGATTGTGTATGCATAAGAGCTTAAGAAACAAGGTGGTAAGGCTTGAATCAGTAGATAGGTATGGATCAGTACACAAACAGTGGCAGCAGCAGCAACAACAACAATAACAACAAGTGTTGAAATTATATGGTGATCAGATGAAGCTGCATTAAATCAAAAGCAGATTTATGGAGGAGAGTAGCGAAAGCGATAAAGGTAGAACCAAAATATGATCGAAAAGGTTAAAAAAAGCATTCGATTAACACGAAATACGAAGTTCACGACCTCGATATCAGGTCACAGCAAGAGCTACATTCATGTAATAAAACTCCGAATGTTAAATATAAAACTCAACTAATGATTTGCAACAAAACACCCGTTAATTATAAGTCGGTTGGAGTCGGTGGAATGAGAAAACACACGGTAGAATACAAATAAAACAAGCGTAAATGAACAGTTGAAATACAGAGGAAGTAAAATGATGCACAGTCAGACAAAGGAATAGTGGCAACAGGAAAAATGCGGTACCGACGCATTCAAAATACAGGGGCTATATTGGGGAGAAAAACGACAATGTGTTTCTCGGTTAATGCTGTACTTTTAGACGGGTAAAAAAGTGATTTCGCAGCAATAATTTTACCTCCATCACAAGACGCTACTTGTATTATGTGCTTGACCAAACATCCAAAGAACGAGACAAAACAGACTTCAGGACACAAATTACGTCTTCTCCGGTAGTCTTCGAACACCTGCACATTGATTTTGCACGTACTTCCACTTGCCTTCAACACGTTTCTGGAAGTGCTACTGACTCCACTAAAGCCCAATAGTGGAACACACTTTTGACCGAACAAAAACGACTCCAAAATCTTGGCATTCTCCCTCTATTACTGGTCCGTAAAACAGGCATGCGATCGAATTCACTGCCCCTCTTTAAAACATGCGGGTGCAAACAAGGGGACGGACCACCTGCCTTCGTCACAAACTTCCCCATCTAAACGTCCTCTTACTTTGAGTTCGTTAATGTACGAAAGAAGCCAGATAAAAACGCACCGGTTCAGAGATGCCTCCTTTCTCACGACCCAGACCCTCGCCCCGGCTCCAGCCCATTTTGGCGAGAAGACGGGCCCCCACGTTGGTTTCGTCAATGGGGGTAATCACGCTAGCCGTAGTGGCGATCCCAGTCTGACTGACCGGCACTGGGTTATCTGAAGACATGGCCTTTTCCAGCGCACGACGTTTGGCCGCCCTGTCTTCGTAGTGCGGTTTTTCCTCGACGAGTCGCGCCCTCTGCCGACTGCCGCCGCCCTTCCACCGACCGTCTTTCTTGCCTGCCTACATGCGCAGAGAGAGAGAGAGAGAACAAATGGCAGCACATTAAAAGTCGATACACCAAAAGCACACTCACCACAATATCCTGTTTTATTAGCCCCCCATGAATCGCCCTAGTTACCCCTAATTTCTTGGCGGTTTAGTACATTTAGAGACGTGACCCATAACTATGGACCGGTCCTCCACTCATTTGCCGCATGATTCATCAATTTTGGATCTTATCAATGTGCAGTAGCGATTTGGAATGAAATTTGATTCACAATCCGCATTGATGCTGGCAAACAACTGTCAAATACTTTCGCCAAAATTTCTTGCCATAGGGCGAAATGGTTAAAGAGTTAGTTGAAAGCAGGCGCTCTGAATGTTTCAAGGGTTCTGAGACACCAACATGGGCAACTACAAGCAGTGGGTCAGAGAAATTAAGTTGCAGCAAAGGACGACTTGTGAAATCAGGCAGTCCATCGCCGAACGACCTGTTTCAGTGGGCGAAACACACGCTAGACCGTAGAGGGCTTGAAACACCAGAAAACTCATTGTTCATATAAAAAAGACGCTGGGTGCTGTTGAAGATGTCGCAAGCAATGGTCCAAGATAATGTAGAGAAAGGGCTGACTCAAAGGCCTTCTTATTCATGCAGAAATGCAGTTTGGGACGAATAATGCCAGCATTGGACATTGCACCGGAATCTAATTGTAACCTGGCTCCGAATCAATCAATTTGCATGCGAGACAGCTGTCGCAAAATAAACCATTGTGCCTCTGATGTGGTACTCACTACTTTAAAAAAATTGTTGTCCTGACTCTCGACGCGAAAGGACTGGAAATCCGCACGTTAGCAAGGGTTCGTAGTCAGTAAGGTTCCAACCACCTAGCCGGAATTCGAAATATCTAGTAGCGGAGCAGAAAGTCAAGTATTTATGGCGCATAGTGGTAGAAAGCTTTTGAGACAACGTGAATTTCATCGAGCCAAACGTTGAGCAGACAGCTAGCATTGATGTTAAGTCATTCGAGTTATATGGTAAGACAGTTTGCACACGAGATTTACATGTTTATGTCTTTTTAATCCCGTATTACTTTGTGCAGCACATAACTAGTAAACTCACAGTTACCTTAATAAAACTTGCAACGCTACGCAAATCATCTCTACTGTGGAAAAGGGAGATGATGGTCGCAAAACACACAATGTCAGCAACAATAATTAGATGAAATTCTATTTAGGTTTTAGTATCCCATGAACACATGTACCCGGTAAACAAGACGTTGCGCTAACATTGTATTTCTATGTATAACTACAAATTTCAACGGCACTTATCTAATAAGACTAGGAACAGTACTAAAACTAAAATCGGAGAACACCATGAATGGAGTAAGTACAACAGCAAATACAGAGCATAAGGCCAGTAACGAACCAGTTTTGAAAGGATACCAAACACATACTAAATTCAAAGGCAATAATATCGCCATACACCCTGATCACCAAGCTCATAGTTGGAAAGCCCAAGCGATACGCTCGGCGTCTTAAACGTCGAAGGAGATATTCAAGTAAATGGATAGAGATTGTACGGTATCTGATTAACATGATAACGTATGAACTTTATTGAAAATGGAACTACTAAAGGTATACCTTTTTTAGCCCATATTTGATTTTCAGTGCATCAACGTTGGCCTTTCTAATAGAGTCTTTCGACTCCGACTTGGTCAATTGCACATCATCAGGTACAGCGGTTAACATGGAAGAGTTAGCCACTGATTCCATAGCTGCTTGGAATTCTGCGGCCTCACACTGTCCGCACGTTTCGCGACCCGGGTGAATGTGCACGAGAAATCGGTTGGCTCCAATACGTAAGACGTCCCCATGCCGAAGAGATTTTTTTTCATTCTATAAACACAACGATTATCTACTTACTATGTATAAGTAAAGAGAATTTGGAAGCTGCCAGTAGATACCTTTTCAAGTTTAGTCCCATTTACGTAGGTGCCATTTACTGTCCTTCGATCTTTAACAAAGTAGCTCTCGTCGACGACGTTAAACGTGATCTCGCAATGAATTTCGTCGAGGTCAGTATCTTGGGTCAGGTCGAATATTGGACAGTAGTGCCAATTTCTACCCAGACAGCCCCAGCCGGTTGAGGCCTCCTGAGAGGTGATGACACCTACGGAGCCTACGGCGAGGCCGACGGCGTTGGAAGCGAGGACCATTAGACGCACAGAGGGTGGATAGACAACAGCGGTCGCGGCTATGCAGGCGGGCTTCGCTTCCTCTGGTGCAGACTCTGAAATGTAATAAACAGGGGAGTTAACGTATTGAATTCCATTAAGGGACACCAAAATACGACCTAAGCACATCTTAGCAGTAACCCACGATCACTATGAGAAATTACCAAAATAAGGCTAAAGCCGTGATTTAAAAGACGTTGCGCACACGAGGCAGACACCCCCACCACATTTTATTACGGTGTTGGTTAAGAAAAGGAGGTTCGACAGACAAATTGCTTTTTGACTATTGACCATCTTGTACAAACACGACAGAAGCACCATCTGGCCGCGAATAAGCACTGAGTTCATTTTTAGTGAGAGGTGAGCTGTCTAAACTTGGTTTGAATTCCCCAAGGTTGCTGTATTTGTTTAATTGGTAAGACAGTGTGACCAAAGCTCTGCAAGTAATAATGTTCCCATAATTACGAAAAGGGATTAACTCGCAGCATTACTACCAGGAACAGGTAAACGGAATGCAACCCTGATAGGCAGAAAAAATTGTGTAACCTAAGCTATAGTGGGAAAGGGGATCAAGACTTACAAGATATACATTAAAAGCATTCAAGTAAATTTTAGAAATAAACCAATTTTCATAAAAATTCAACTTTACCACACACACACACAACGTGTCAACAAAAAAGCTTGCAGATTCAGAAGTGGTTCAGTGAGACGTGATAAAAAGGTGAGGAGAAGGAAGAATGTCAGTTCTTCAGGCATCAGGACACTTAAAAAAGTTAATAATCCGACTAATTGCTCACAGATAAAAAAAATAAATCGATCGTTCGAGATTTTCAAAAAGGGACGAAATGCCACGCGTAACACAGAAAGAGACGATTTTGCTCACCCCTGTCTTTGCGACGACCATGACGCTGTGAAGAACGTCCTCCATCAGATGATGAACTGCGGTAATCTCGGCTTCTCCTGCGCAGCCGATAAGGGGATGAGACTGAAGAGCCACTTCTTGAGTAAGACGATGAAGACGAAGACCTATGCCGGTGCCTAGTTCGACGACGACGTCGACTCGAACGTCTACTCCTTCGGTGGCCATGTCGCCGACGACGATCAGTTGACGAAGATGACGAATAGCGATGTCTCCGACCCCTGTAACGATCTTCCGACTTCACCGCTGATGCAGAAAGCTATGCGTGGAAGAGAAAAGATTTAATTCGTGAGGTATTTTTGTGAGGATGATGAAGGAGACTCGCGCCCAGATCAACTGTCATCACCTTCGAGATCTGAAAAAGTTATATATAAAAAAGATAAGAAATAATAATGGGACGTCAGATGGGAGTGTGCAATAAAGGACAGATAAGTAGACAACCAACCTCAGTTTTGTTCGCGGTTTTCTCCAGAAGGGCTTTAAATTTGCCACTCAATTCCGTGGAAACACGGGAATGGTAGGAGTATTCTTTGGTTTCATCGTTGTAGCTATAGTAGACTCCAGTCTTTGGCTCAAAAAATAGTTGATTATCCTGCATAGCCGATACTATGTGAATCGATAAAACTTACTGGATCGTAGTAGTAGCCACTATTTTTGTCAAAATAAAGACCAGTCTGCTGGTCAAATACATATCCGCTGTTATGGGTGACGGAATCGGACGTTTGTTTAAGGATATCAGCTATAGAAGCCTCTGCACCTGAACAGGTTTTTTTATCGTAACACATATTCAAAAAGTACCGGCAAATGCGCTTTCTGGAGTATCTTCAACTTCATTGACTTTTCCATCCGTTTGAACCTCTTTATCCATCGTGGCAACAGTTACGGATGATTGGTTCTTGCGTAAAATAGCAAGTTCTTTCATGTGGATTTCCATCTGTTGTCGGAGAAGTGCATTCTGACCCAGTATCTGTTGAATGTAGGCATCTTTCTTATTAAGATCTTCTTTTTGAAGGTGGATCTTCGTCTCCAGGTCGCTGAGTTTGTCAAATACATCAAATTCCATGGCGCCTAACATGCAAAAAAAGTATTGAAGAAAGGAAAGTATGGGGATTAGCGTCATGTTCTGGGTCCAGAGTTTTAAATAAAGTGGACTCGCATTTTCGGCCTGCAAATTCCAACTAAATCTAAGGCCCTAATCGGATTCGGCAGGCAGTCAATTTTTACATCTGTAGCAAAGAATGAGTGTACAAAGAAATGACATCTGATTCCAGTCCATGAAACAGGGCAAATGGATGAAATAGTTACCTGAAAACTTAAGATGGATATGGAAACAAGATTACTGACTGTTTGAACACGAAGCA